CCTTTCGATACTCCCGGCGTTCCCCGCGTAGGTGGCAATCCGTGTCTTTTATCTTCTTGTTTCCTCGCGCGTACTCGATGGGTGCGTTTGTTTCGACGCGGACATACGGGCCACACGCCTGTATTTTTCGATGAGGATGTGCACATCGTGTTGAAATACGCGTGTTATGGCTTTTGAGGGCGCGAGGGTGCGTTGCTCGAGTGGTGCACAGCGCTTGCGCTGTGGGGCGCGGATTATGAGTGCAGTTGGTAGAGACGTGTGATTCAAGGAACAGAGCTGCGAGTGGTGCAGTGAGATACGGCGGCTCCGGCGTCTGTTCGTTGGAGTTATTTTTACTGGTACTCTCTCTTTCGAACATGTAGTGTGAGTGTCTCTTGGCAAAAGAAATCGAAATTGAGATGACTTGTGGACTTTGTATATGTTATTTTTGTTGCATGTGAAGGAGTGTTGGCATTACGGGGTGGCCGAGCCTTCCGTTGGAGAAAATATTGTAGATCATCGTCAACAAGGCTCTCGAAACCAAATCCCTTGGGTGTCCGGGTTGAAGGATCAATGTTTTTCTATTAGCAGACGGCTGGTGTCGCTTTACGTGGGTTTTGTAAAGGGAGGAAGTGGAGAAACCCTTCATGGGCGAAGTGTTGGTGCGACTAAAAAAAATGCTGAGAACAATTGAGTGTACATCCACGTGGATAAAACAGAGGGACGCGTTGCTGCTTTGAAACTAAAAAGCTACTTGCACCCTCAAAAGTTACAACCGCCGCGAAGGCTCGGACCTTGCCGAGGGGAGGCGAGAGCACAGTACACCCTGCCTTGGGCCCCCCATCATCTGCGTCCCGCTTATTTTTGTGGTTTCCAACCGTCTAAAACAGGGAGATAGGTACGCGCCTGCGACTCTGGCCGGCTCGTTTTGATCGCAATCAGCGGGTGCACGACAGCCCTGAGATTGTGCAAGACGCACGTCAGACACTGCATGGCACACGCAAAACGAGTAAGAACTGTGCTTGGTTTCCTACCCGCGGGGCATGGAATCTCAACCCAGAGCTTCAACTCCATTGTGGCAATTTTGCGTAGTTACAGAAAAAAAACTCGCGGTTTTGTCGTTCAAAACTTCGGTAAATCGCACCGCTCGGAAGGGGCGGACAACATGTTACACACACAAGCACACATTGTACTAACTACTACATTGCGAGCACAGCATCTACCAACGCCTCTCTAAGGCCGCCGCCGCCGTCTGGTGCTGGTGCTGCTGTCATCGCGTGACGCCAAGGATGCTTCGGAAGAACTCGTACGCCACAAAAAAGAAGGCGTTCGCCGGGATCTTGTGCAGCAGTCGAGGAGTAGCCCCCTTCAAGAAAGCCTGCCGAAGGAAAAGACGTTCGTTCAGTGAGCATGATGAACTCCCTCCGACGAAGCCTAAAAGGCGTTGCTGCATCGACGTGAAGTGGACGTTCGTATCCCGAGGTACGGTAGTCACCACATTTTTTGCAACAACTCCAACCGGAAGCCGTCAGAGGAAGGCCAGCAGACAGACGAGGACCCAGATTGGCTGTGGACACGCAGGGACTTGACTGGAATCTAGTGATGACCAGGTTCATCCAAAGTTACCGTCAAGGTTCGAATGGTCCACCACGAATCAAACAGCGACAGCGCGCTGCAAACAACGACGAATCACCCGAGAGAAAGTACTGTGTAGAAGAGAGAGGCATTTGTCTGAACAATGATGTAAGGAAAAACCGCTCGCTGTCGGCGTGAATGCCGTGAGCATAACATGATGTAAGCTGGCACTTTTCCGAACACACAACACGTCTTTCTTTCACGGAATGGTCGATCCCGAAAACACCTCTGTCAGCGAAAGAATCGATCGCGCTTCAACCGGAAGGCGGGCCTATCCTCTCCTTCGTGGGGCAAGGAGAGGCTAAACTACTGAGAGGAAACAACAAACGTTATCGCCAACGCGCAGGAGGACAACACTCCGGGCCCTGCATCGGGCAGAAACAACGGTTTCGTTCGATCAAGTTGTCTTCAGCAAACCAAGGCAAGCCTTCACGGATAAAGCGTGTGCACAAGACTCCTTTTGAGAAACGAGGCGACATAAAAAGCAGGCAACAAAAGTCAGGTATAGACACTGCGCTTTACCTGCGGCCCCTCCTTGCTAAGCGCCTTCCACGCCGCATCCATCGGCCCTGCGTACAGCTCTGGTGACGTCATCATCCTCGTCTTTATCATGTCCATGGGGTTTGTCACCAAGGACCCCATACCTCCGGCTATCGCACCGATGACCATGTTCTCGATGGGGTTAGCCTTCGCCCCCTTCTTTTTCGTCCCTGGCGGACCTTTTCGGCGAGCCGCGGCCTTCTGGAGGGTTTCGTAGACAAGAAGCGTCACCATGGCGTAAGGGATGTCTCGTGCCCATTGCGTCTTGAGCCCCCCCTTGCCGAAGAATCCCACCAGCCCTCCCTGTGGTCGCCGTGATCGGGTGCAGAGCCGGGTTCGGAGTGGGAGTGAGGCGAAGGCCCGGACTAGCTTGCTAGAATTCGTTGCGTCATATGTTCGTCCGCTTCTTTTTTGCCATACTCTACCCGACAAAAGATCGAGTACAAAGAATAACACAAATGAGGTAGTCACAGGAATGCTTCTCGCAATGCACAAGTAAGGGCACAACAATGGCTTCGAAAGCAGGAACCACAACGCATGCGGCTGCGCATGTGTCGCCGACTAGTAATGGCGACGGCAGATCTATATCGCATTTTCACCCCCGTGTGAACGAGCCGGCATCATCAGGTCTCGAAATTCTCAAACATCGGACATGAGAGCATGATGCACAACGGCTGCATCTCGCCTCACACAAAATCTCTTGGGGCAAGTGTGGGTGAAGGCCACCAACAGGGGTTCACAGGCTGGAAAACCCTACCTATTTCGTGGCAACGAACCGCGACAAATCGTGTGCCACCCTGTGACGGATTTCATATCTTGCCGGCTGGTGGAATGCGTACCATGGAGATCAGATCGATGGTTGACTTTACGATACCAGCGACAACACCAGCAACAAATCGGCTGTTGGTGTTGTTGGAAGTTTGTTCACCTCGTGGTAGATGGATTGTATCGCCACCATGGTGGTGGGGTACTGCCCAACTTGCAGGCGTTGCTTCACGACCTCGTACGGCACTCGGAAGAAGCTGGTCGGCAACGGCACACCGTACATTGCAACACACGACGACACAGAGATCAGGTCGTGGTGTGGGTCGGAAAATGACAAGAGAGGATGCATAGAGCAGTGAGCAGCGATCGACTGGTACTCAAGAAGAGCTACACAAGCTGCGTTTGTTCTGGATGCCGGTTTCTACACCTTCGTTTGATTCAGGTTGGTAAAGAGGGCGAGGGAAGCCCCAGAGCTCGGATGACCTGTGACGGTAGACGAATAGACCGTTTCGGTAGACGCCGTACCTATCTTACCTCGCGATGAAGTTGCCCACTCCCGCACTGACGGTAATACTCAAGTACGGGGAAATGCCTTGCTTGGCATCCATCTGGTTCTTGACGAACTGGTACAAGCCGAAGTACACACCGACCGCCGGCATCGAGCCGACCAGAGTCACCCCCAGCCCTTGGTAGAGCTCCGGCACGCCCCCCCGTGCCAGCAAATCTCTCCCCGCTTGCAGCAAAGTCATCCTGCGTACCACGTTTTCGCGCGGAGGTCGTTTTTCACCGAACGAAAACCATCGGGCAAGAGTCAAACAAGATCGGTTCAACTTTCTCAGGCCACTTTTCGTAGTTACAACGATTATCGCTAGACATTGCTGCTTGCTGCCGTGATGGGGCCCTGTCGGTGACCGCTTCCCATTGGCCAAATCAACGTGTGAACGCGGACGGAGGAACCCGCAGATTCCCACTACTGCACCCTCGGCAGATGCCCACGAATAACTACTGCTGTCGGCGTCATATTGTCTTTGCCTGCTTCGTTTGGGTATCTTGTCTTTGCTTACAAATTACATAGCCCCGACACATGGTAAGCGAGTTTGAGTTTAGTCTAGGGTACTTGAGCGAGAAGAGACCGCGCCTGTAGTAGTGGTATATACGTGTGTCCGCCCGCCCCCCAACCCACCTTGTCGTGCTGAATTGCTGCACAGTCTTCATCGTATCGAACGGCTGTAGCACCGTCTTGACGCACGCTGCAGCCAGCCCGCTCGCGAGGCCATTCTTGAGTCCCTCGACAGCGTTCTTCAACCTCATCCCTTGTTGCGGCGACGACGGCGGCGGTGCCGGAGCGCCGCCGCCGCCGCCGCGTGTCAGCAGCATCGTTGACGACGACCCGTCCTTCCCCTCTCTCAGGCGCAAGGCCTTCGCAGTAGACGAAGCTCGTCGGACGAGATGCTCGCGAGTCGACGACAAAGATCCGAGAGGAGCTGGGAGCGTCCTCCATCGGGTCGCCACTCCAGCGTTCGTGGCAGTGGTGCCGGATGCGGTGTTGGTGGTCTCGGTGCCTGGTTCACTCTGCGGTTCTGCCGCAGAAGCAGTCGCATGTTGTTTGGATTCGTCCAAATTCGTCGCCTCGTCTCCCGTTCCCATCCCAAACGTCCTCGTTGCCGTCGAGGCGAGGCAGCCAAGGATACCCCGAGTCCCCTCTCCTAATCTCCTCTCCCTGTTAGCCTTCCCTACGACCTGGGAGACTACCGTCTCCCGGAGCGGTTGTTGCACTTCACCTACAACGAGCTGCCTCGACCGCTGGTGCGTCTGCCTACCGAAAAACCCTCCAGCTCCTCCATTCGCAGCAGCAAAAGACAAGAGCAACAGCGTTGCGATACAAGAATCCCATGCGGATCTCAATACCATGATTGCACGAAGTGACACGTGGTACGAGCTGCAGTTTCACCGGCTGCGCCAAGACAACCACCTGCTCAGCGGGGGCACGTGGCTAGGAATTATGTAAAGGTTTTGGTATGAAAAACAGGAAAAGGGAGGGGTCGATCCGTTTTTGTCCCCGCTATTCCGCGGGTCAACACTGCCACAGCCAGTAGCAGCCCTCGCCCTGAGCTACCATGGTCATCAAGACGGAGGTGTGCGCGTTCTCGGACACCCGTATCTACCCCGGGCACGGTGTGCGTTTCATCCGCAGGGATGGGCAGGTGAGCCAGATGATCACAAGCTTGGAGAACCAATCTCACTCAAGGGCCTTACAATTTTTGGTGCCCTTGGTTTCCAAGCAGCAGCAGGGGAGCAGGAGTAGAGGCAGGAGGCCGGCTTCCCTGTGGAGTGAGGTTGTCGCCAGATGTTTGGCATCAATACGCGGGTGGAGCACTGTTTGCGGGTGGAATTGCGATGCACAGCTGCAATATATTGCCTCTATCCGTACACCTGACTTGTTGTCAAGAGTATCCTCTTGAGTCCGGGAACGGGCGTGTTTGGGTGGTTGCTCTGATCCGTTGTGGGTCGCCTGTGTCCGCCGGACGTCGTCGAGTGTCACTCCTGCCCAACCGTAACTCCTTTCATATTCGGCGCTCATGGGTGCTATCGCTGTCTTTGCCTGTGCTCCTGTGTGTTTTTCTTGTCCTGGAATGTCTGGTGTTTGCTTGTTGATGGCAGCCCATCACCCTGTTCTCGGCTAAGTGTAAGAGCTTGCTGAAGCAGAGGAAGAAGCCGGCGAAGCTGACTTGGACCCAGGTGAGACAAACTCACGAAACGCGTCACATGTCCAAAGGGTTGTTTTCAGCAGCACGTGCCTAGCAATGCACGCCCGGCTTGACGAAGTTGTTGGCAGAAATACGTTTATGCAAAATGATAAACTGATGGCGGCACGAAAATGATGCATTGTGGTCAAAACGCATAAAATTTACTCTGCAGCCGGGCCACCTGTGACTCTTGCCGAGAATAGCGCCGTTGGACCCGACTCGTCAAGAGGTATTCCCACAACTTATCGTTAGCTTTGACAACCTGTTCGTCGTGGGATAATCGAGCTATGAAATTCGGTCTGCGGGGCGTGGGCAACATGCGTACATTTGTTGGAGAGAGTAGCATGGGTACTTGTTGGGAGCAGACACGATGCAGCAGTATGAAGGGAACCCCGCATCCCATCTCTTCTATGCGCGGCGCCTGCCAACAGTGCGGTTGGCGTGCTTTCATCGTTTATCATTTTTGCTGCTTTCTTCACGGTAACAACCGTTACTCCGGTCTTTGCTCAGCACCATATATAGCCGTTTGTTCTTGTGTCGAAGCACGTGGCGTTCGCACACCCGACCGCCTGTGGGTTGTCGCCGAATGCGCCGTCATGTTTGGTCTCATGCGTGCTGAGTTCCGATGAACAACGAAGCCTAACAAGTCGTTGGTTGGATCCTCTGCATTGATGATTGGGTGGAAACCGTTTTTTCAGGCATGGAGGCGCCTTAACAAGAAGATCAAGGTGGAGGAGGTCACCCGCCGCCGGTAAGCGACACCGAGACAAAGACACAAACCCCGCGATGCACCATAAAAAAACTCACGGAGAATGCTGCGCTGGTTGGCTGCAGAAGGTGGTCTGACGCTCTCGTCCATCTGCACCAGGACGCGTCTGCGCGGTGAATGTCGAAGAAGGAATTGGGATCGATTCCAACCCCTTCGTCGGCACTCATCGAGCAGACTTTGTGTTAGAGGTGATGGACGGCAGCGTCAGGCGACCTTGACTGCAACTGTCTCCCCAGCTCGACGTGAAATGCAGTTTTTGCGCCATTTTTCCTTCTACGCTCGCGTCGGGACTCGCCGCAACCAACAAAGGACCATTACCTTGTCCTTCGTCGGCACTTGTCCCGTAGACGTGCTGCTGTGTATTTGCCGCTGCTCGTTCCTTCTTCTTTTTTTCATAACCCGGATGGTCCGGCGAGCTCTGTGCGGTGGAATGGTTGACTGTTGTTGTAGTTGTACAATGCACGTGCATCTCTATTGCGAAAGCCTACCTTTTTCCTTGCCGTGTATTAGCTTTGTTGCGTCCCTACTGTAGCCTTCTTTACCTCGGAGAAAACGAATTTCTATAATCGCACTTTGTTGGAAACACCTCGCCATACTTTTGCGTTATAAAATGTTTTGAGGATTTTTCAAGGTTGCTTTATGTAGATACACGGCGGAAGGAGGATGCAGCAGAAAGTGATACGTTGGTGTCCGGCGGTCTCTCTGTTAACAAGTGCAAGTTTCCTCCCCTCATCCCAATTTCGCGCTCTTTCCTGCAAATCGCGGGTTCTCAGTTCGCTTCGTGATCCCTCACGCGTATTTCTTCGACCTTGTCTTGTGTCTCCGTATCCACTGACGACCGACCTCGTAGCACCCGCAAGACCACCAAGCTCAACCGCGCTATCGTGGGCGCCTCGCTGGAGGAGATCAAGAAGAAGCGCAGCCAGAAGCCCGAGGTCCGCAGCGCGCAGCGCGAGGCGGCCGCCAAGTGAGTGTAGTCGCATCAGGCAGGCTGTGCTGTGTAGGCGGTCTTGGTGTTTCTGGTGTGGCTGCATCCTCTCGCATGCTGCTAGGAATTTTTGCCTCCCATTATTTGGGGCAACGGGGGTGGTATCTAGACGGCAGTGGGAGGGAGCGAAGCGCGGTGCGGTGTAAGTGAAGCTGCCTCCTGCGGTGTGTGCCCTCCCGCTGCTGCATTTGATGACATTATCGGTGGTGCACCTGGAGTGGGTGGATGTGCAACATCCTCGATGCCGCGTCTTGGCAACAAGGGCCCCGCACAACAACGATATTCTCGATGATAGTGAGGTGTAAATAGTTGCCGCTTTGTTCCACTTACCAGCCAGGTACGGAGAACACTCAAACGTCTACACGAAGTCTGGCCTTCATCTTAGCGCGTAGCGCCAAGGCTCTACTCACACATACCTGCGAGCACAGGTGTTCCCGCGAAGCCGCCTTATCGGCGATGTAGTATGCCGATGAAAGCGAGCTGGTCTTGAGGCGGTCTGGGGTGGTTTCTGTCACAACAGTAAACATGTACCGTCCAGGTGTCCACCATTTTGTCCTCTCAAGGCATACAACACCGACGGAAAAGCTTGTCCGGAGGAGGGCGCGCAGGCCGTTGTCCTATGAAACACGTGTAACGAAACCCTATTTTTCCGTTGTTCTTCCGCCGCTGCCGCAGGGAGGTGAAGGCACGCAAGGCCGCCAGCAAGGCCGCGAAGGGCTCTTCCACCGCGATGAAGGCCAAGCCCACTGCCTCCAAGCAGAAGGGCGCCAACACCAAGTACGTTGTCGCGCACTGGTGGTACGCGTTACGACTACGCAGCACATGCATGTGTGGGTCTGTTTTTGAAGAGAAAGGGTTCGGGTGCACGGGTGTTGCTATATCTTTTTGCGTGTGGTTGGATTCGTGATTGCTGTGGTCGTTTCTCATCCTTTTCTTGATGACCGGGGTCACACTTGCGCGCTTGTTCGTGTCTTGGGCGTTGTCCATTTTGTTGAGAGGGCGCCCTGTCCGGTGTTGTTCGTTTCGAACCGGGCGATCACACTTCCTATCTCATGAAACCACCCCCCCCCCCCCCCC